TATTTTCTTTTTCAGTGGTATATAAAATAAACTAATGTGAAAATAAAACCCTTTTTGTTTTTCCATTGGCAAACTAAAAGAACTTTTCTTCTTTTTGTCATTTTCAAAAAAAATTCGGCAGCATTTCGGCACTATTTGGACATTGGTTTTTTCTAATATAGGAACTTAACTCTCTACACTGCTATTTTCTCTTTTGGTTTTTCCACTTTTCCCAAATATTCAAAGCCGGTCAGCATGAGGTCCCAAACAGATAAATGCACAAATAGGATGCCGCAGGATGGTCCATTATTCCGGGTACACCTGTCCTAGACGGACCCAACCCCTGTGTTGAGTCCCCTAAGTCAAAATGCACGTGATGCAGATAAACGTCCTACTAGGGATCCGGCATGAAGTCAAGTTCTTCTAGGTTCAAACCTGGGTATGTGTTCTAGACTGTGTACCCGAGCGGACAACTCGAGTCGAGGAGGGGGCTACGTACCGGGAACCAAAAGGCCATCCGGCTTAGTAACTTGTCCGGCCTCTTTCTTATTTCAGGGTATTGACACTAACAGAATAGGGAGTCTCAACCAGTAAGCACATCCCCGGAGGTGAGAAGAGAAGGGTTTCGGCACAGTTTATATACAGTTCAGATAATATCAAAGCGGTAAAAAGCAACATTCTGCACATTTAGCATGAAACATGTAGTAAAATCAGATAAAGCCAAATACAACAATATATCTAAGCTCGAATTCTGAACCCTGAACCAGAGATTCTGGGTTTGTATCCCCAGCAGAGTCGCCAGAGCTGTCACACCTCCCTTTTTTACGCTACACCTGTGAGGGTGTAAAGGAGTTTTTCCAATTAAAGGACAGTCGGAACGGGATTTATTATTAACGTTCAGAGTCGCCACTTGGGAGATTAATGGTGTCCCAAGTCACCGATTGAATCTCGATCCGAGGAAATTATGACTCTGTTAACAGTCCGCGAACCAGAACTCCGAGTAAGGAATTCTGTTAACCCGGGAGAAGGTATTAGGCATTCCCGGGTTCCGTGGTTCTAGCACGGTCGCTCAACTGTTGTATTTGCTTTTATCTGATTTTAAAACATATTCTAACCTATGTGCCTTTTATTTTAACCGCTTTTATTTTATGTCTTTTTAATAAGAATTGCAACGTCGTGAAAATGTATCTCGAACCACGTCACACCAGTGCACCCGTGGCTTTTGACGCATTTCGACTCTGTCGAGATTTAGATTTGGGTCACATAAATGTGCACCCGCGTTTAGGAAGGTAATATTATTAAAATACGCGCCTAAAGCAACTGTGCGTTTATTATATTTGGGGAAGACCATGAAATTTGCTAAATGGTCCGCCCGAGTTCTAAGCATTTTATATAGCATCTATTGGGTGCCCCGTGATTTTGCATTTTTATTGGCGAGGCTCATCTCACTTTATTATTTAAAAGGCAAACCTAGAGTAATCTATAATTTTCTATCATGTATTGTCTCTAAAAGCAAAGGAAAGGCCCTAATTAATTAATTATTTTGTTACTAAACCATCATTGAAAGAATTACATCTCAATATTAAATTAAAGTGCTTTGATAGTCAACACAAGAGCCCCAGCCGACTGGGCTTCACAACAGCCCAAAGACGGAGAATGGCTTAACCTTGCAAAAGGGGAAGAGCTGACCAACGTTGGGCTTTAAACAGATTCAGGCCCAGGACTGTCCAAACAGAGGTTGTTACGTTTGGGCTCCTGAATGAGCCCAGATCTTATACTGATGCTATTTGAATCTCAGCCTACTGGTTTTTAAACTTACAACAGCCTTAATTATTGGCAGGCCCAAGTTCAAAAGAATACAGGGCCCAACGTTTAAGTTTTCAACTTGAAACAAAGGCTGAGAATGCAACAATTCTAATCTACAGGCAATTAGCTACAATCCGTATTATTAACAATCCTAAAGTCAGATTGCAAGGAACTAATACAAAACAGTCCACATCTATATTCAAACCTTGAGCCCAAACGTATATCATTTAATTTTAGAACTAAACTACTGAAGCCACCACTGACAAACGATTACCAGACCTGGATTTTAACCAGGATAGGAACCTATATGGTGATTTTCAAGTTCAATTTCCATTTGTAAAATACAGCTTCATGAGAAACCAAATTATACTACACTAGGGCTACTATTTTAGAATGAACACACTGGAAGTCCAATTCTAACAGTCCAGTACAGTCCACAGTTTCATTAATACAACTGAAATATGGTTCAAATGAATCAGTCACACGAAAGTCTAAACTGAGCAATAACAGTAAAATTCAGGTGCAAGCATATATTCCTTTATCATTCATACTTCAAACTTGTAGTCTACAGGTGAAGGCAATCTTCAGCATCATTTGAGCGTAAGAAAATACCTGAAGAATGAATCAAACAGAAAAGGAAGAAGTCAGCAGCAGTAACAACTCCCAGCAGTAGTTCAGGAACGAGTTTAAAACCCAGCAGCAATCAACAAATGAGTATAACAGCCCAGAAAGTATTCAGCAGTTCAGGATAAGTTGGAAAACCAAGCAGAATCCACAGATCAACCCAAAATAGCACCAACTAGCCAGAAATGAACCCAGCACTAATACAACCAGTAAACAACCAACAATCAACTCGAACTAGGCAAATCTCATGCACATCTGACTCGAAAAACTTGTAAATACCAATGTCGA